AAAAAAACGTGGAGGGGAAGGGAAGAAGGGAATACCTTTTCCTGACTGATTTTTTGAACATCAGAATTGCAAAAAGAACCGAAGAGCCGACCATGCTGAGGCTCAGYCCCAAGAGAATTCGGGTGTCGTCGTCTGCAAAGGGATGGAGAGAGGGGAGGTCACGCCTGGGGCTCGGTGATTCTGTCCGAAATGCTGAGTGAATCCTGCAGCTTGTGCTGGTTTTGGGTTTTGGGGCTGTGACAGATCACAGGGGGACCTTTGGCACAGGGTGAGCAAAGCAGGGCAAGAACAAAATCAGAGCCACGGGTGGGAAATGCTGAAACACGTCCCTGGTTCGCTCTGCGAGTGGAATCGGCCCCTTGTGCAGGTTGATTTTGTATTTTCCTGGGTTTGATTTTGTATTTTCCCAGGATTAATTTTGTATTTCCCTGGGATTTATTTTCCATTTTTCTGGGTTTGATTTTATATTTTCCTGGGATCGATTTTGTATTTTCCCAGGTTTAATTTTGTATTTCCTTGGGACTGATTTTGTATTTCCCTGGGATTTATTTTGTATTTTCCCGGGATTGATTTTGTATTACCCTGGGTTTGATTCCCCAGGATTGATTTTGTATTTCCCTGGGTTTAATTTTATATTTTCCTGGTTTTGATTTTGTATTTCCCCAGGATTGATTTTGTATTTTCCTGGGTTTGATTTTTTTATTTCCCTGGGACTGATTTTGTGTTTCCCTGGGTTTGATTTTGTATTTCCCTGGGACCTATTTTATATTTTACCGGATTTGATTTTATATTTTCCTGGGATTGATTTTGTATTTTCGTGGGTTTGATTTTGTATTTCCCTGTTTTTGGCACCTCCCACTTGGAACGCACATTTTTATTTTAAGCCTCATTGGAAATCACAGCTCAAGGTTTGCGTTATTTGGGTGCTGCTCATCCTTAAATCACCAGAGCTTTCCCTCCAGTGGGTCCTGACAGGGTAAAAATGTCCTTTTTTTGGTCCTGACCCCAAAAATGTAACCTGGCAGAGCTGCTCTTACCCGGGGGAATCTCGCTGTAGGCGCTGCCCAGGAGCGGCTCCTCCGCAGGGACTGGAACAGAAATGGAAAATGTGACTGCATTTATGGGATTGGAACAGAAACGGGAAATGGGACCACATTTATGGGATTGGGACAGAAACGGGAAATGGGACTGCATTTGGGGGATTGGAATAAATGGAGAAATGTGACCACATTTGGGGAATTGGGACAGAAACGGGAAAACGGGACTGCATTTGGGGGATTGGAACAGAAATGGGAAATGGGACCGTATTTATGGAATTGGACCAAACAGAGAAATGTGACTACATTTAGGGGACTGTGGGTGGCACAGGGGCTCTGGCTTGGTTTTGGTGTTTTTTAGAAAAATAAATAATGGTTTATAATAAATAAATAAATAAATAATAAAAAATAAGTTCCCTGAAGTAATTAAGAACTCCAGTAATTAATAACTCTGCAGAATGTCCCATTTCTCAGAGATCCAATTAGATGAGATGTTGATAACACCTGCCCTGCACATCCCTCCCCTCAGTGCCCGAATTCGGTCCCTCTGGGGATCTCCATCATTTCCATGAGCACCCACAGGGTGCCCAGAGTAGCTGTGGATCCCTGGCAGTGCCCAGGGCCAGGTTGGGGTCCCAAATGAGCCTCACCTGACCCCTCCACCCCACCCTGCCCAGGGGGGATCTATTTAAGCCCAGCTCTGCTCTGACTCCATGGCTGATCCATGTCCATCATCTTCCAGAACCTGCTCCACTCTCCAGCGATGGAGATGAGGATTTTCCCTTCACAATTTGGCTCCTGCTCTTCCCTAAAACCATTTCCAGCACTGAAGCTGCCTGATCCTGTCGAAAATTCCCCTTCCAGCCCAAACTGTCTGTGATTCCCACTCCAGGTAAGGAAGGGCAGGGTGAGTCTGGCCAGTCACTCTCTGGCAAAGCTGTTTGCCATATTTTGGTTTCAGATGCTCTCTGGCTAATCTGTTTGCCATATTTTGGGCTGTCTGGTAAAGCTGTTTGCCATATTCTGTTCCCAGTTCCTCTCTGGCAAAGCTGTTTGCCATATTTTGGGCTCTCTGGTAAAGCTGTTTGCCATATTTTGCTCCCAGTTCCTCTCTGGCAAAGCTGTTTGCCATGTTTTGGGCTGTCTGGCAAAGCTGTTGGCCATATTTTGGGTTCAGTCACTCTCTGGAAAACCTGTTTGCCATATTTTGGTTTCCAGTTACTCTCTGGCAAAGCTATTTGCCATATTTTGGGCTCTCTGGAAAAGGTGTTTGCCATATTTTTGTTACAGTCACTCTCTGGTAAATCTGTTTGCCATATTTTGGGCTCTCTGGAAAATCTGTTTGCCATATTTTGGGCTCTCTGGAAAATCTGTTTGGCATATTTTGGTTTTTAGTCACTCTCTGGTAAAGCTGTTTGCCATATTTTGGGTTCAGTCGCTCTCTGGAAAATCTGTTTGCCATATTTTTGTTACAGTCACTCTCTGGCAAAGCTGTTTGCCATATTTTGTTCCCAGTTCCTCTCTGGCAAAGCTGTTGGCCATATTTTAGGCTCTCTAGTAAAGCTGTTTGCCATATTTTGGGCTGTCTGTTACATTTTATTGTGGAATGGTGAAGAACAGCCTCAGTTTTTGTCACAGACAGGGACAGAACTCTGCCAACACAGCTCTGATGAAGAGGAAGGTTCTGGGGTGTGCGGGGCACCAAACACCAGCTGGAGAAGAGGTTTTATACAAAAAAACATCCATTAAACCCTCTCTTTTCACACCCTGCTCTCCTCCTCCCGGCGGGAAGGGCTGATCCCGATCCCAAAGCTGAGGAATCCCCCAAATCTCTCCCCGTGTGGGGCTCACCTCGGCCGGAGCGGGGCTCGCTGATCCCGTCGGGATACACCGCGTACAGGGACACGCTCAGGGGCGCTGCCTCTGCGGGAAAAGCGAGATCTGCCTTCAAAATGTGTTTTTAAAGCGGCTGCGGAGGCTCTGGGCTCGGTCAGGGGTTTGTTACGGAGTGGGGAAGGCGGACGGACAGGTATTTGTGGCTGTGTCACTTGGACTTTATTTTCCTTCCCTCCCCATCCCCTCCTTTCCCCTGATCTTCACCTGGATCCCAAATCCCACTGGCTGCCCCCAAATCTCCTCCTCTAAGGATTCTTCACTCCCCCAAACTGGGCAGGGGCCCATTTTCAAACGAAGCTGCTTTAGTGATTTATTTTGGATTTATAACGCTTGGATGAGCTGTGCCGAGGAAAAGGCGATTCCCGGGATGTCCTACCTGGGATGAAAGCCCGCGTTTGGTGCGCTGGGATTTTCTCCCAAAAAAGCGGTTCCTGATGGTGCTGAGGGGAGGAGGAGCCCCACTCCAGGATGAAACAGAGCGGGGGTGTCCCCCGGGAYCGGGGGCGCTGCCACCGAACCGCGACCCCGCTCCGGTTCTCAGCCTTCACCTCCACGGCCTCGGGGGCCGGGAACTCTGCGGAGAGAGCAGGAGAGGGGAATGTCACCCTAAACTCAGCTTTGGGGATCGGGAAGGGTCAGCCGAGCCCAGGAAGTGCTTAAAAACTGAACCAGAAATTATAGAATGTGATGGGTGTATAAYATTCTATAATTTCTTTTTCTGGGGAAAAAAAAAAAAGCCTATCTAAATCGATATTTTTACCTGCAATTTTTACCTGCATTTTTTACCTGCGATTTTTACCTGCAATTTGTGTAGATTTTTAATAGATTTTTAATAGATTTTTAATAGATTTTTAATAGATTTTTATAGATTTTAATAGATTTTTAATAGATAATCGATGTTTATCTATCGATATGTTTTATAGGATTATTTAGGTTGTAAAAGCCTTTAAAGATCAAGTTCAGCCGCTCCCCCAGCACTGCTGAGGCCATCACTGACCCTGAAATTCTTCAGCTGTCATTTCTTACGAGAAACGTGCACSATTCTGATAAACACCAGAGATTAGAGAGTTTTTTCCACCTTATTTGCCTTCAGTTTCTCTTTACTCATGTAAAGCCCTCAGCTTGAATGGGACTTTCCCCTCCCATTGCTCATTCAGAGACATTTTTCAGAATTAGGAAAGCGTGATTGTGGGGAAACCACAGCCYGGGGTGCAGGGAGATTAAGATGGTCCTGAAAGGATTAAGAAATGATTTTTTTTTTCTCTTCCTTTTCAGTTTGCAAGGCTCCAGCTCCCAGTGGGGGTTGGCAGAGGCTGCAGGAGATGTTTTTGGGGGCAGAGGAGCAGCCTTTTGGGGACTAAAGGGGCTCCAGGAGAGCTGGAGAGGGACKGGGGACAAGGGATGGAGGGACAGGACACAGGGAATGGGGTCAGAGTGGAAAAGGGGAGATTGGGGTGGGATATTGGGCAGGAATTGTTCCCTGTAGGGTGGGCAGGCCCTGGCACAGCTGTGGCTGCCCCTGGATTCCTTGGCAGTGCCCAAAGCCAGGCTGGACACTGGGGACGGTGGGAGATGTCCCTGCCACGGGACACTGAAACGAGACGATCTGTGAGGTCCCTTCCATCCCAAACCATTCCAGGATTCCCCGTGGAGCCTCTCCCGGGGGTGCTGCAGCTGTCCGGTGGGTGCTGTGGAGCGGGCAGAGCTGTGCCGGTGCTTTCCCCGTGCCGAACCCCGCATTTTCCCCTCAATCCCCATAAAACCCAGTCCCTCTGAGAGTCCCCACCTTCCTGCCGTGCCCCGTGGCCCAGGGCGATGCTGGCAGGGCTGGACKCCCCTCTGGAATTGTGCGCGGTGACGAGCAGGGCTCGGGCTCCCGGCGGGGCCAGCACCGTGCACTCGGTACCGGCCGTGCTGCAGAGCGGCCCGGGGCTCCCGGGGCTCCCGGCGGACACGGAATAACCCAGGATCCTCCCGCGGGCATCCCGGGCGGGCAGCGGCTGCCGGGGGTGACACAGACAGGGATTGGTGCGGTCTGACAGCGGGCACACATTTCACAAGGTTGGAGAGACTCATTTCCCTGCCRTCCCCGTGGGCAAAGGGCGGCACCGCGGCTGCCGGGGAGGAGGAGCCGAGCCGAAATTTGGGCACCGGAGGCTGCCCAAAAGCTCCTTACCTTGATCAAGACCGTCACCTCGTGGCTGCCGTTGGGGAAGGCCGGGCCCAGGCGGCGCCACACGGCGGGAGCGGCGGCGGGGGCTGCGGGAGGAGCGTGGGACACGGCTGGGACACGGAGGGGACCCCGGGACTGTCACCCACCCGCAGCGCTCCCGGGGAGCCTCTCCTGGCCGGGGGCTCTGCGGCTGAGAGGGGAAA